TCTAGCTTGACCCTCTTGCGCTCGTCGCGCCTCCCGACCATCCATGCTTCAGCAGCGATGAACTGGTTCGCGCGCTGTAACATTTCAGGTACCGAAGTGGGGGGTCGCTCCACCAGAGACCAAAAGAATCGGGTAGGGCGCAGGCCCATCATGAATGCCTGCATCATCAAAGAAGGGTGAGCATCAGACAGCCCGCGAATTTGTGTGGTGAAGCGGTTCACAAAGTGAGAAAGGGGCTCGTCCTCCCTCTGGTTGAGCCCGAGGAGCATTGCCACCGACGGCTTCGGCTTGGCATGAGCCAGGAAGTTAAGCTCGAAGTCCCTGGCCAACTGGTCGAAAGAGGCGATGGTCGCGGTCTTCAGATTGTTGTACCACGCTCGGGCTGGGCCTCGCAGGGTTGTCGGGAACGCCCTGCACATCAAGGCATCGGACGTCCCGTATAGCGCCATTTGGGCGCGGAAAGCGGCTACGTGGTCCGCCGGGTCGGTGGCGCCGTCGTAGGGATCCAATGACGAGAGCCGAAAATGCGGCGGGATTGCTTGCTCTTGAATCTCGGGGGTGAAAGGGGACCCCTGGTGTTGCTCGGCCCCCGGGTCTTCCGTGGTCCGGCGAACCTCACGTTGCACCTCATCCAGTCGACGGCCTACGAGGTGTAGTTGGGCCCACAGGCCCTCCGTCGAGTCTGAATGCGGGGCCACGGGCGTCGGGTGCGTCGCTGGATCCTCGGCTCCTCGGCTCCCGGGTTGGGTCGATTGGCCCGGAGGCGAAGCGGGAGACTCGGGAAGCGGTGCGGGGTTCTGGGCGGCGGGCCGTTGCCGTGGTGGAGGTAGGGTTGAGTGTGAAGACGTCGGAGGAGAGACCAGCGGGATGATGGTCTGCATCACTCCCGTAAGAGCCCGGACCTGGTGTGTGAGGTCATAGAAGGCTTCAAGCGGCACGGGGGACGGGCCGCCGGGATTGGCAATGGGCGGCGATAGACCAGGGTCGTTGAACAATCGCCAATAGCGCTCCGAGATCGCAGTGGGGCGCTCGTCGCGAACCCCCTCCTGTTGGGGATGTTCTTCCGTTGCGTCGGTCGTGTGCGACCTGACGGCTGGGGGTTCGTCGGAGTGAGCCTGTTGATCGCTTGACATTCGGACCGGCCCTCCTTCTAGCGCCATTATGTTAGGGTAAACACCTTTTTCTTAGCCGTGATCCGGGGGGTCGTCTCGGCTTGTTCGGGGGTCCGAATGGCGGGGATCTCCCTGGGGCGTTGCTTGTCTCCGCCAAGGCGGTCAGGTGCGGCCTCGGACTTGGGGCGACGCTGCGACTCCCTTCGGGCGGGGATGCTGCGTGTCCGGACGGGGGCCTTGGCTCGGTACCTGCACAAAGGTCGGGTCGGGATGCTCCGCCTGACCCCTCCGATGATCAAGTTAGAGGGTGACGTGGAGGTCGTTTTCCTTTGAGGAGCCAGTCCCCCTTTTTCCTTCTGGCTCGGGGGTGTTTATAGGGGGACTCGGCATTACCGGGCGCGCCATCCCGTCAGTCGGGGCCGTATCTCTGATAGCGTCCGACGTCGCTGAGGATGTTGCGTAGGGGACCGGGGAATCGCAGGGTATAGGCGAGCTTCAACCGCTACCTACTTCTGTCTCGTCCTACTGTGCTGGGTAAACTGTGGGGGCTGTGAGCTCAGCGAGGCTGACGTCCGGACGCAGACCGTCACCCTCATTGCTCTTCCTGGGGCGCCGCGCCTGTCCACGTGCGGGGGACGTTGCCAGGAGTGGGGTCCGCCATTTTTTGCCATATCAGGTGGATTGACTTTGGATCAACAATCCATATTACAAACTCTTTGCAGGGTATGCAAAAGCTAAGGAAGCCACTAGGAAGTGAGCAAAGCATCTTATCAGGAAATAAGATAGGCTCACAGAATCGACCACAAATCTTAATAGACTCGACCTCAAATCCTTATAGAATGATTTGGAATTACCATAGACTGGTCTAATTTAGATTTGATTGATTTCAATTAAATCAAGTAGGTTTGAATTGGTTATTCAACAAATGAAATCAAATAAATAAAAATAGAGGAAATTGGACTATATCGTATAGTACTAATCTAAACTAAATTGACCCCCTTATGTCTTAGATGGGTCACGAGCGTCACACATGCATGTCCCAGGTAACAAACAAGTTGGATTGAGGTATAATGAGCTAGATAAAGGGACGACAATGTGTTTAACACCATGTCACGGACTTAGCTGGTTTTGCCTAAGTCGTGCGACACCCTTGCGTGTCCGTCCGCAAAGGTCAACCTCCCCGAAGCCTCCCACGGTTCCTTATGACCCACAAAAGAGAGAACGGGTTAGAGAAAATACCTCATTCGGGATCCACAAGTAAACATTTCAGGAAACACTTCATAGATAATGCAAATTATAAATAGACTTTACAAGCTCTGAACAGTTGCACAACAAAGGGTAAAATGGTCCACTATAGATCGCAAATATCTCACACGTGTCCACATGACACAACCTTTATTTACAAGCCTAAAGCGGCCGCCAACCTAACTAAAATGGGACTATTAAGCCTTCGGCCATCTCTCTACATGCTGTACAAAGCATGAACATACCAAAAGACACAGACACACATAAGCATTACATCAAACATCCTGTTTAGAAGTTTTGATCCGCCATACTACTTCAACTCGCCAATGACTCTGACTCTAGTGTTGGGTTGGCTGAATTGTGTTGATCCCTGTTGGTTCCTACGGATCCTCCAGATGAAGGAAAAGATCATCCTTACTGCGCTAGTCTCTCAAACGCCTCATGCTACTTGAATTGGATGGATGCTTGTTGGAGCTTTAACGAGCATCGTCTCGCAAACTTATGAAGTTTTAGGTCCTTCCTCCATAAAATTTGCTCATTGACTCTTCTTTCACTTAGTTGTCACATCCAAGTAAGTTCGCATCACTTCCGCGTTCGATTAGCATTTCGTTGGGAAATGAAGCGAACAATCTACTCTCAGTAGCACTGATTATCGTTGGTGAGGATTTGACAACTATTGTCTTCCATTATCTTCGAAGGGTCTTTGAACTTATGCAGAGCTCCTCTGCTGGATAGATAAGAGAATTGGGGGTACTCAGTTTCGCCCATTCTCTTAAGGGTTGAGAAGGCAAAGGTTACTTGACTTCGTCCGCCTCCTCGAGGTTGTACTCTATACATTGAGCTGGTTATTAGCCTTTGCCTGCTCTTTGCTCACACTTCTGCAGCACTTGAAGTGTTTGCACTCGTTGCGTTGAGTTAGTTACTGTGATTCACCTTCTCAATGCCATCAAACTTCTGGAATGCAGGAAGTTTTCACCCCAACTTGGAGTGATTCTCTCATAGGTTTGGTCGCTTCTGGGATCGTACTGTCTACTCCATCAACCCTACCGCCTACTCCACTAAGTAGCAAAGGTACAATACCGCATACTACCTACTTTGTTCCTTGGTCATGCACTCTTGCTTGACCCGAAGTCCTTCACTTTCGGCTATCTTGATGAGAAGCTCGTCGACACCGGTCTTACGAAGTTCCTTGGCCTCTGCCCTTCAGCCTTGTCTCGGTACTTGGAGTTTGCCTCTGCATGCCCCACCTCCTCGACCCCTTTCATGACCAAACGCTCTCCCTCCATGAGAGCAAGGGATCAATGACTTTCACGGAAGTCCCGCCTCTGCAGTACCATGACGCTGCCATGCCCATGGCCCTACTATCCGTCGCCTCGTATCTACATCCCTTTTCTTCATGATCAATAGATATGTCTCTGTGGCACTCCTCTGAGTCCATCTCCATTCTAACTAATGCTTGATTTTGGGTAGCTAAGTCCCTCTGGACTCGTCGTCGCTTCCTCGCCCCCTTCGACCCCTTGCTTTAACACCTTTGTGTTCTCCAAGCAGCTCCCTTTGGTCGATGGAAAGACAGACTGCAACTCCCATGCATGGCCTCTGCCATCATGTTGTAGGGTTTGCACCGATTCTGTTCTCCTTAGCTTCTTTGGTAGCAACGTTCGCTTACTCGACCTTGTCCTCTGACTTGCCGGGCTCCCTTAAGTGAATATGAGCTCTGGAGCAGTCCAACTCTCCAGCTGCTTCGATCATACCTCTGCATGATCAAGTCCCTCCCATGGGACTCACTAGTACTTGCATTCAAACTTTTCCCTTGGTGGAACATAGCTCCCATATGCTGATGACCAAGGCTTTCATCCGATGCAAAATTCGATGCACGCACAGAAGACCCGCCTCTACGGTACCATGGCCTTCACTTCTTGAATCCATAGCCCTTCTCCCTGTCGTGTTGTTCACCGAAGTGGAGCTTCCAGTAGCTCCCGATCATACCTCCATATGATCTAGTCCCTCACGGGACTATGTTGTGTGTATCGCATTGCCACGAACTGTTCCACCATGTTCCGCTGCACCATGTCGCCTCCTGGTGACATCTCTATTGCATTCTGATCCTTGTGGGATGAACTCAAATTGTGAACCCTTCATGTGTGGCCTCTACCAATACATCACAGGGTCTCTTCCACCTTCGATTTTGTTCGCTCCTTTGGCAATCGACCTTCATCCACCCACTCTTGGGTCACACCTAGATGAAGCACCGCTTTAGGACAGTCCGTTGCCTAGTAGCTCCCGAAGTCCCCCGACTTCGCTGCAATTAGTGCACCATTGTCTGGATCCTAGGCCTTTGCCCCTACCAACACAATCTTCCCTGTGCACCACTTCCTTCAAGGCAACTTGAATTGCAACACTGTGGCATATTCTTCAAGAGTACCCGCCTCTACGTCCTCTTGCCCCGTGCTAAGGCCTTCTGAACCCAACTTCACCTCCGTAAATTGAGTCGCCTTAGTTCCTCTATCAAATGCTCCTCCGAGAAAAGGTGCATGTGCCCAGAATCTCCCTTCGTCTTTGGCACCATGCAAGATGAGTCCGCTCCATCAGAATGAATGACCCATGGAATAACATGATCCTGCTCTTGCCTCTGCAAGAGTTTATGTCCTTGACCTCTGTCCAAGGAAAGCACTAAGCCTCCACTCCATGTTCCATTTTCTATGCTGGCTCCCTTTATACGGCTTGGGTACTTCGCCAAGTTACACCCAAGTTATTCCGCTCCTCGTTTTTGCATTGAGTTGATGGTGGCCTTCTCGCCCACCGTTCCACAGGTCAGCCCTCCCTTGAGTCTGATCTCCATATCGACTCCAAGTGTGCCTTCATTTGTGTTGCTTTGGGTCGCTCCCCCACTTGATCTCGCAATGCATCCACCAATGCATTCTCTCGAGCGAGATCATGCAACGACTCCTCACCGCTTGCTCAGTCCATTGAGCTTCGTGGAGTTGTTGTTTGTTGAGGTACTTCTCCTCAACATGTGAGGTCCGTCCCACATGATTCTCCCTCTAGAGAGCCGGGACTTATCCCTCCTAGATAACTGTCCCGTTAGAGCAATATCTCTCTTTGTTTCGGAGACCACCATCCTCTTGGACTACTCCGATCTGCTGAACAAACTGTGCATTATTCTGCCTCCTACAAACACGCTTGCTAGATTGCGACTCCACGTCAATACAGCCCCCGTTGCACCACTCAAGGCCTAGCAACATGTTGAACTCATTGCACACTTCAGCCTCCTACGGACGTATCCTTCACATGCCGAAGAGAAAGTTTCAATGCTCCATAGCGCCGAGTTTCGGTCGCTTTGGGATGGCCGCGAACATTCCATCATCCGCATACAAGCCCATGCATGAGTACCGAATTCCTTGAGTTAGCAATTCCCCTCACCTTTGTGAGCTTTGCACAACTCTTTCAGTCGCTGAGCAACTCATTCCACCTTGCATGGTCTCATCCTTTACCAAGCGCCTCGCTTGCCTTGAGCACCATCAAGTATAGTTGTCAACGTTGAGCGGTAGCTCAAACTCAGCCATCCCAACCTTTGTGCGCTCCACATTCTTCCAAGCTTGTTTGTTCTCGTGGTGCCTTTTGCACGAAGGGTTGGCCATTCCTCTAAATACCAATCTCAGATGCCCGCTCCTCCGAGCAACTCCTTTTCCCTACATCTCCATGCCCGTTTTTCCCCAAACGGTCGTGCGTGTGCTGACTGCCCTCAACGCAACCCCGCTAGGTTTCCCACGTTTGCATGCTAAGTGTTTCTATGAGTGCTTGTC